CAATCTATGCTGTCCTATGGAAACAGTTTTTGTTCACACTGGCAGAGTATGATGCTCTCTGCGGTTAAAAGCTCTTAGAAAACAGAAAGNACACTGCAAATCAGGGCAGAGATCAAAAGACTGAAGCTTCATTCGGAAAGCAAGTTCTGGGAGCTGGAGATAGAAGACGGTTATCATAATGGTTAAGATTGCTCTGAGGACAGAAGAAACGGACAAAAAACAAAATTATTGACGTGGACAGACTCAACACTGCATTCATTTATTCTTCGAATGATCTGTCTCCGTACCCCACAGATCATCTATTTACCATAGACCCGGTCCCCCATGAGGAGGTCTTAAAAGTATGAAAACCACGAACGCAGTTGGTCACGATGGTTTATCTTCGTCATTGCTCAAATATGGCGCTAACTCAGTCACAGAGATGTTTACGTCCCCTACTAACCAATCTATTTACAGTTGTTCGTTTCCGAATTCCTGGAGACCGTTCACCATCATTCCCATTCCTAAACCCTCTTCATCTAGCACTTTATCTAAACGCTTTCGGTCTATCGCCATCACCTCCTTTGGACATAAACTTGCAGAGCGCGCTACTCTTATCCGCTTGTAGTCTGGTATTATTGTTCCTAATGACCCCCTCCTGTTTGAATACACGCCTAATAGATGCACTATGGATGCCGTCTCTTCAATGATGTATTTATTTGCAAATCTTTAGATGATTTTAAAAATAGGTTCGTTTTGTTTTCCTTGCCTATTCTTCGGCTTTTGATTCCTTTCCACGATCTCTTCTTCTGCAAAAGTTAGAGTCATTCGGTTGCCCCACCAAATTATTATCATGATTGAAAGATTATTTCACAGGAAGGACTCAAAGGACGAAAGCAAACGGCACTATTTCAAAACCGTTAGTAAATAATTGTAGTGTCCTAAAGGACGCTGTGCTCTCCCCTACTTATTTTCGACTTTCATCAGTGACTTACCGTCAATCCCACCAGCCAAGACCTTCAAGTATGCTGACGATGTGGTCTTATGTTAAGCCATCTCAAACCATTCGGACATAGACACACACCACCCACGGAATTTGAGCTACGATTGCCGGAATAACCGCATTAGCAAAACGTCAATTGAACTGTTAACTAAAATACTGTATCCATCGATCAAATTGTTGCTCTTTATTGTATATACCCTGTCCATTTTCATCGCAATTGGTTTCACTGATCGGCAAGCGACGACCCAAGGGATGCTTATCAGGTGAAAGTCCTTGACTATTTGCAGACGTAACCCGTTCCGATGGTGATCCTGGCAGATTGGGATATTTCGCTTCTGTTCCATCAGGATTCCAATGTCTTCGGTGAGCTTCGGGCTCGTTCCCACAAATTTCGCAGCTGAGTGCATCGTAAGTCTAATTCGATCCCACACAGTTTATTCAACCATGTCGCGGTGCTTCTAGCTTCGGTTCCAGTTTCTCCTCATAACTTGCGCAGACGATGATGCGCTAACTGGGGAGGCGATTTCTGCCAATGACCGATGAGTCACATCGTGAAGCGCATCAGAACTAGTGCATGTTTAGACTCAATCCAGGTAGCCCAATAGGATCTACAATAATGTACTGAACCACGACAGCGGTAGCATACAGCTACACGATCAATGTGGGTCAACTTATCTAACTAGAAATCCATGTTGCTGTCCAACGAAATCTGTCAAAAGTTGGCGCTAGATAAGTACAGCCGACGATCTGCGCAGAACTGAAGTAATCGATCAACATCGCCGGGTGGGAAGAGCAAAGAACCCCTTCAGACAGATTTCGGATGCTCTGTTCTCCAACTTTTATCGTTTTCAGCACCATAACACCAGAGCTGCAACTAACTCCAATTTCGGTGATCTTATCATGGATACTGGACTATGTCTAACTTCTATTCCTTTGATATGAATAGTTCCTCGGCCTGAAAAATGCCTTCCAGTGCAGCTCGTTGAGTCACAGAGGTGCACACCCCATCAAAAGTCAAGGTGTATTCCCGTCGAATGTATCAGACCGAATCGGTTATCCACCTGATAGGGAAGACCTACAAAATGGTGATAAATTTCGACCATCCTCAAGATGTGGAAAATCCGAAGGTGATCTCAAAGGATCTAACCACAGCAGGACTTACTATTAAACTCCTTTATGGCGAGACTGGCAAACATCGGGAATATTTAAAACACGATATCCTCAGGCTTGGAAAGTCAAGAGTACAATCCCTCCTCCAAACTGTCCCGCTTTATCCCCTCGCGCCAGCCGGGGTCCATAGCTCGACAACACGCCAAACAAGTGCATCCCTATAAACATATACGCCAATAATTCGAATGGTAGGGTTATTAATGCTAGACTATCGTTTGTTGAGGCCAGGGTTGACTTTTTGTTAGATTCTGATTTGGTTCGCAGTCTTGTCTTGAAGTTTCGAAGTGCTCAGGACAACCTCTCTGGCAAATGACAAAGCAGAGTCTCTGTACAGTCAACGCTATCCTACGGTTGCTGTCAGGCATACGATCAACCAAAGCAATCACACACCAGTGAGTGGTAGGTTCTAGGCCGTTTCCTAGTAAGGTGAGGGACAAGATGATTTGTTAAAAGCGATTCTAACTACTCGACAATAGAAAGTAGGCAAGATAGTGTATTTCGCCTAGGGAGACAAGAAATAAACACTATGCGGTTGTGAAATGGGTCTTCAATGCGAGTTATTTTATTTAGCAACTACAGTCAATCCATTTCACGTGCTTCCGAAAACCGAATGGAAAGAATCTTAACCTATATTTCACCAGTGTTGTGAAATTCTCAAATATCGAGCTTCGATTTACCAAACCTGGCAATCTTGCACACGTCATTCCTGTACGCTCCAGAAGTTGTCCACCGAGTTTGACTTGAAAACGCGGGTCGGTTAGTATACGGCATCAACGTTTCACAATTACAAAAAATACTGGAATCCATGAAAAAAACGATGACGTAGTATTTCGTGCGCTAATCAATGCACAAAGTGGCGAAACCCGGCTCAGCTTCCAGATGCATTATACTTGCACGGTGTGAAGGAAACCCCGTGGAGGTTAACAGATGACTTAGATTCTAAGCATGAATAAATACACAGAAAGATAAGGTAGGTATCGCGCGTTATCATGTTGGGGTCCGAAGGACTCTGCAACTTATTGATCGAAAAGATTGAAGGATATGGCAGCGAACCGATAGTAGTGGCGTTCTTGTTGTTGTGTCCTATTAGGCCGAAATGCTTGAAACGGTATGTATGCACAGTTACATTATGAACCCAGTGTTAACCATAGACATTCACTTTGTTCTCTCTCCCGCAAAATAGTTCCAATTCCTACCGACCTTACCTATTACTACTAACTTTGCATGCGAGGCGAGTTTCGCTGCACTGTGTTTTACTGTGCGATGATGCGCGCGATTCATTATCCAGCCTAGTTTCAATTAGTTCCTCCACCGTTCGGACCGATGAGCAGTTTGCACAACCCTTTCATTTTTTTTTCAAGTTACATTCTCTAAATGCTGAGTGAAACAAAAATCACGTTTATGGAACCTCGGACTGTATGCAACGGGGCATCGCCGGTGAGCATCTGAAAGAAATACTTCAATACCGTCTTCTCACGACCGAATTTCCGTAGTTTTATGTGAATCATTGGACTAACTTATAGATCACGAAGACGATTGAGTGATATTTCGATTTTTCCTATATATACCCACAAAAATCAAAACAATCACTGAAAGCTTGCGACTGGAAGGAGGCTCGGTAAAAAAGAACTTAGTGCAGCCAGATACGTCGAGTCTTGTAGCATCCGTATACATAACTCTACAACTGGACAACACAGAACGTCAATGAGGGGAATCGATGCACTATAGTCGAAGTTTCGCTAACGATACCACAGTAAAGTTGAAAGAAAACATGTTCGCTTTCACCAGGATGAATTTTTGATGCTCCAGGAATCGCCCAGATTGTCGACTGATATGTTGAAGAAAAAATAAATATGTTGTCCGCTCATTAGTGGATTTCATAGTTGTTGAATATGGAGAAAACACCTTGGTGCTCGAACAAAGGCATGTCTTGTGAGAAGTGATAATAAATGGTGAATCCCCGGAAGCATTGCGTAGTGAATTACGATGCGAGATAATCTATGTACAACCACGACCTAACCGGTGGGTGAAAACCAACGATCAATTGAGCTACGGCTCACGTGATCCACCCGGGATTATTGACGCAACCTAACTCATCAATCAGTATAAGACTGAATTTTATTGCAAGATGGAACGCATCGTATGAGTTTTTTAGCACAGCATTAATTGAAGAGCGAGACTACGAATCAAGTTAGGTTTGTGTAGATGAGATAAAAAATCCACAGCAACGAGAACGAACATTGATGGGAAAACCAAAACAGAAATCCGCGCTGAAACCAACGGCTGAAAGAACTTAGGTTAAACAAAGCGGACAGTAGGTTTGTTCCAATTGCTTGGCTTCTGACTCGTAGAATCAACAGCGACAGTCGATAAACTTCATGTGATTGAAGTACCGAATAGCAATAAGCCACTATGATGGTTTTCTCCGGAGCACGCAAAATGATTCATAAGAGCCACCCTCAAACCCGGATTATTTACGGGAGCGTCTAGCACGATACGGAAACGAAAGACCACACAATTAAAATGGATATCAAGATAGAGCTAATTTTTTGTACACCTAATCGAACTCTGCGAACAGGAATCATGGGGGGCAATGCGTGACCCCCAGCACCAAAAGGCATAGAAACAAACCTTGTGAAACAGTTCGGTATAAATGTTGGTGGGCAAGCCCCTCTCCCCCAATAACCGAGAAAAGTTGCCTGAAGCATTCAGGCTCAAAATAGGCTAGGGACAACTAAGAAAACGATGGCAGAGTTGAGGTAATAGAGATGTTTGTTATAAGCGCGAAGCTAAATTTCATCGGTATTGGAGAGCAATCCAGGGATAAAGCAGCGATTTTCGATCGCATTCACAATCGCTTCTGAAACGTAGACATGCCTCGTGCAGCCGCGTAAGCCAAAAGGGCTTGGGCAGCCTGACGAGCTTCAAGATAGAGACGAGCATCGGCGAGCCAGTCGGCAGCCACCACACGTGCCTGACCACGTAGTTGTCCAAGTAAACGAACAGCCAACTCTATTCCGTCATCCGTGTCGTTCAGCTCCTCGCTGGGATCTGTTTCCGAATCGACGAAGTCTTCCCGATCGAGGGACAAAGCTGCTTTGGCACTACGTAACAGAGAAAATGTATCCAGTCCGGCCTCGAGCTCACCCACCTCCGTGTTGCCCTCCAACAACGGTTCTGACAACGCACTACGTAGCCAGGGGATCTGATTCAAATATTTTCTGCCAAACACATCAAGCACCAAGATTGACTGCAACCAGGATAATGCGTAATTCCACAGTGAGCCTCCAGTTTCATCCAC